TTTACCAGGAAATTCGTGTTTTTCAAAGGAAGTGTGGCAACGCCTGAAGGTTCATACGGCGTTTTTCCTTTGCACGGCAGTATGGTGTAATGGTTGTAGCGCCAGCTCTATGATCGGGAGGTCCCGGGTACGATTCCCGGCCAGACGATCCGAGTTTGATGGTCTCAAACAATAATTGTTGCCTGGGACTGGTTGAGGGGTTGGAGGGGGACGGGAATAAAGGGCAAGGATTGGCCCTTGTGCACTATTTGAAGTAGTAAAAAAAAAAAAAAAAAGACCTCATGAAATTTAACATCTCTGCGACCAACGCCCAAAACCGCGGGGGGACGTAACGCCATCGTTTTTTTACCGGCTGATGAGAGCAGAGAGCAGGGGAATATATTTTGGTGTCGACGGACTGATCGACCAACTGCCACAATCTCGGCATAATTACCATCCGATCATCCATGTTCTGTAGTATCATTGAACATTTACTAAGAGAGTCCAAATGTCGCTTAAGAGATACTTAATTTCATTGATATCCTTCATATATGGGCTGGGCCATTATCGGTCCGAGAAAATCAAACTAAGATCAACGAAGCGACGCACATAAGAAAAGCAACACAGTTCGGGGTCGTTTCGGCAGAGTTATGTGGACTAAAGGGGTCAGTCGAGAAAGCTATTTGTTTTGAACAGTATGTATCGCCATCAATTTTCATTGCGATCAATCCACCGTCCAACTGGCTTGTTGAGAAGAACGGGCATTTGCCGATAGGTCTCCCGCCTTCATTTCGTTTAACAAGCAACACATCATACACCACAGACTGGCAACATTGTATGAGTTTCGGCGCTCTCTGTCGGCTTCTGGCCGCAACCCCTCTTGGGTCACATTGCCACAATCGATTCGATATATCGCAGGGGAGTCTTGTGGAGGTAATGCAGTATTGCCATCCTTATCTCCTCTGTTGTTGTTGTTGTTGTCATCGGATGGCCGGGTACCCGTGTATCGCAAACAATCGATTATGTATCGAAAAAGTGACCCGGCGTCACACAGGAGTCTCGGAATTCGGGACATGGAAAATGCTTAAAAGTGGCGCCAGCTCTCCCACTTACATTACGACTCTATGTACTCTATGCTATTTTCGGACAGCATGACACATGATTGCATCGGAGCCAGTATGTTGTTGCCATATGGCAACAGGAAAAATGCTGGGCCAGAAGTTAGCCGGTATGTTGTTGTCATATGGCATCTTGCCGTTTTTGAGCCGAAAATAATATTTCAATCATTTTTTTCTCATCAGTCCCGAAAATTTTCAATCTAGATAGTGTAGGCAATGACTATGGTTTTTGCGTCTCTGAAGGCAAGCTAAGTCATGTAAAACATTCTTTTAAGTTAGGCTGCTCGCGGCTACTCCTTGAAAATGGCCCCGTTAGCAAAACGGGATTATATAGTTAATTTGGCAGCTCCAGTTCTCCCCACCACAATTTTTTTTAGGTTGGTAATGTTGTTACGTTCCCTAGAATCCACATGGAGTACCAATATGAGCATACCTGAATTTACTATGAATTAAATAATTGCTGTTGCCATATGGCAACGCGATGCAGTAAAGGGTTAAGCACCGTCGGTCGTAGTTAGTACTTAGATGGGAGACCGCTTGGAAATGACCGCAGTGCGAAGAGTTGCAAATAGTGGCTGAGAGAGAGTCCCTTCCTTGTCTAAATAATTGCCTCAGGAGCAGAACAAACTGATTTTCGTGTACAATCCTTAATCTCTTTCTTCTACGGCTCTGCTAGTAGAGATTCGACGGCATTTTGGGCACGGAATAGCCCTAGTAGCAGAGTTATATAAAAAAGTTGTTTTTAAAAGTATAAACCGTAAATAACCACAAGCTAAAGAATATTCATTGTTTATGTAATGGATGTAAAGTTTTTTAGTTAAAAGTTTACATTATTAATAAGCTTTTTATGTAACTCTTAGTATAAAAGTTATATAACCAAATTCAAACAGTGTATAAAATGAATTTTCATTATTCTTTCTGGCTGGTAGCGCACTCTAGTTATGAAGTGTGCAAGTTTTCATATGCGTTACTACCAGGTGGTGGATCATCGTTGAATTGTGACTTACCTTAAATCCGCGGCGTCCTAGTCGGGATTAGAACCCACGCCTCGGGATGGAGTTGCAATCCGAAGTCCAGTACTTTACCACCAGACCAGCCAGGCTTGATATGGATGGGCCCCTAAATTCAATCTCTTAACTATCGCGGGCCTCTGAGTCCGTAATATGTTTGTTTATTGACGGATTCTTATGATATTTTACCAGACTTTATTATTTATTATTTATTTATTTATTGTTTTTTATTTCATGATGTAATTTTTTCATTTTCATTTTTTTTAACTCTCTCTCATTTTTTTAGCTCTCTCTATTTTTTTTAACTCTCATTTTTTTAACTCTCTCTCTCTCTATTTTTTTTTAACTTTATAATTGCGTCTTTTTCCAGTTTTAATTATTTGGGCCTTTTTCTAGTTTGAATTTATGTCGATGTATTTATGTTATTTATTTATTATTATTATCATTTCCTTTTTTTCTTTTAAATTTTTACAATATTAATTTAAACATTTTAAAAAAAATTAAAATTTTTAAAATAATATTTTTAAAATATTAACAAAATAATTATGATATACTTTAAAAATATTATAAAATATATTATTTTAAAAATTTTATTTTTATAAATTTAATACATTTTTAAAATGTTTTAAAAATATTCATTGATTGTATTTCAAAAGTACTTTTGAAAATATTTTAAAAATACATGAAAAACATTTTAAAAATATATTAAATTTCAATATTTTTAAAATATTTTTAAAATATTGCTGTCTAACTGGGCAGGGTTATGAGCCAGACACGCTACCAACTGAGGTAACAGGGCTCCTCGGATTGTGTGCCGAAATATCCCCTTTTAACTCGTCTCGGAGCCACTAATACCTCTAATAATACCTATCCCACGCAGTCTGAGAGTCGAGGGTGTTCATTGAAATGAGATCATCATCATCATTCATGAAAATGAGATAGGTTTACGTTAAAGTCATTCAGGTCATTTATATAACAGTTATATTAAGCAAATTAAGCAAACGGATACTATGCGTATAAAGAAAATTTATAAAAACCCTTCCTCAATTATATAAATTTTATATAAACGTTATCTTCTGAAAATATGAATAATTATTTTCATGGGCATTTTATATAAAACTTATATACACGATATATAAACTTTAGTTAAAATGGTGCTTATATAACCGGTATTAATTCCTTATACGTTTGTTAGGAAGGGGAAAGTGAATCATGCTACTAGGGAGGGAGCTTTCCCGGGGAGCCATTTCCCAAGGGAATTATTCCCCTGCCCAAAATCGCCTGGGTGACTGGGTGATTTGGGGTGAAATAATTGAAATTAAGTTGTTAATTTAATTATTCTTTACTTTATTAAACGATAATAGAATACAGCTTACTGTTGCACACACAATGGATCATTCTAGAACAACAATGTATTCTGGATAGAGCGGGGACATGTATGACAAATGGCATACCCCGCTAAATTAAGGAATAACATGCTTGGTTAGATGTATACAGGGTGATCCAAAAGTCCCTTTTACCCCCCCCCCCCCTAACTTTTTACCTAATTGAGGTAAAGATTTGAAACGTGGGGAATGTTCCTAGGTCAAAAGGAGCTACTTTTCGGCTCCCCTAAAATTTTCAGAGGGCCCCCCGTTGGGGGCAACGGACCCCAACTTTTTTTTCAAAGGGGAAGACCCCTTTTGTGACAGCTCGTTCAAAAGAGCATAAAGAAGTAAAACTTTTCGCGCAAACCCGAAGTCAATATCTCAAACCATTTCAAAATGGCGGCCAGTTCAAGTTCAAAATGGTCGAAACTTCACACCGTTTATTTCTTGATGGATTTGCGCGAAAATAGGTATCTAGAGGTATTTTGACACAAGAAAAACGAATTTGATTTTAGATTTTTAAAGAAACCGAATCTTCCAAAAATGGCCGTGGTTAAAGTTCAAAATGGCCAAAAATTGCCACCTCGATTTTTTTACTTGGACTTGGAACTTGAGGGTATTTTGGCATAAGATTAACACATTTGATCCCAGATTTCTAAGAAAAAAAGAAAACAAAACATAAACACTTCTCGGCATTTTGAACTTTAACCGGCGGTCATTTCGGAAATTTCGGTTTTTTTAAAAAAAAATCTAGCATCAAATTCGTTTTTCTCTTGTCAAAATACCCATAAATACATATTTTCGCGCAAATCCATCAAGAAATAACTGGTGTGAAATTTCGACCATTTTGAACTTTAGCCGGTCGCCATTTTGAAACGGTTTGAGATATTGACTTTGGGTTTGCTCGAAAAGTTCTCTTTTTTTAGGTAAGCTCTTCGAACGAGCTATCACAAAGGGGGTCCCTTTGACCTAGGAACATTCCCCAAATTTCAAATTTTTACCTCAATTAGGTAAAAAGTTAGAGGGGGTGGAAGGGACTTTTTGATCACCTTGTAACAACATCCCCAGCTGAGGCAAACTTTTAGCAGGGTTCAAATAAAACAAAACATTGTTATTAAAATGAAGAAAAATCTTACTCTATAGTATAAAATCATAAGGGTGCCGTGTCACGCTGAGGGTGTCACGCTAATTATAACGCTCGGTTTCTCCTCCTTTCCCCGCTCCCCACCCGCCGCGCACGCTCACATGCTTCCCGCCGTCTCCAAACTGGGTTTTCCCTAACTCTTAATGATCTTTTAACGATCTCACGATATCTGCTTATTATAGGCGCGAAGCGCCTCTCGGGAGTTGGACCGCGGAGCGGCCAGGGGGCGCAGCCCCCTAGTAAATAAATAAATAAATGGATAGATAGATAGATAGATAGATAGATAGATAGATAGATAGATAGATAGATAGATAGATAGATAGATAGATAGATAGATAGATAGATAGATAGATAGATAGATAGATAGATAGCTAAATAAATAAATGGATAAATAGGTACCTAAGTAAACAAATAAATAAAAAAAAAGGAAAATAATTCCGTCATACTTACACGTTGGGTTTTGAAAGCTCTAATAGTATCATTAAATACTTAAATAATTATATTGTCGTAAGTGAAATTATTCGAGAAATTGCTAGTATTTCCGGGTATCCGGGGTATTTTAGACGCATCAGAGATCTTTCTTACATTGCCGACTGATGCCATTCTTGAGCAAGCCAACGCATCAGTTTGTTCAGCCCTTGGTTAGATTTCTGTGTAAGAAAAACAAAAAAAGTATTAAAATGAATGGAAAGAACAAGCAAGTGATGATAGGGAGAGAAGACGGGGGAGAAACAGTAATAGTAAGTGTAGGAGGGGGCGTGGGAGATGTAGGAGGATGTGCAGGAGGAAGAGTATGAACGGGTTGGCGATACATCAACCGCACACTGAAACAAAAATTCCAGTAGGTATTATTGACCAATGCGGAATAGTACTATTCGCAGGGCGTGGCTGCGAAATGTTTCATTTAACTCCCTGTGGCTTTAATTTAACCAAGATGAATTACTTAATTCAAAAGCAGAGACATTTGCTAGGTAAACTAGAAATTACAAGTTGCTTAAAATGACCATCTGATCAGCCAGTAGAATAATTTTATGTTGTAGGTAATGATGACGAAAAGATGTATGGATTTAACAAATCTTGAAAAGTCTGTCGGTAACTTTAAGAGACTGTTTAAAACAACAGACATTTCATTAAGAAAACAATAATTGTGATAGTAAGTATGCTCTATTATTTGCCGAGTTACCTACACCGAAAAAAATATTTGTCGAGTCAACAATTGTGAAAGTGCAGGAGTGCATAACTCAATTTTTGACAGTTTTGAGTTATCTGCATAAACAAGTTGTTAAAGATGTCTATCCACCAGCAAGAGATAATTATCGAAAAAAAATCGGGAAATGACCAAAAACCGTGGAAATTTTTTCGTGTAGGTAACTCTGGTTTAAGTGCAGGAATGGTACCTATCTCGTTCTGGCTCCTTCATTTCATAGAGAAAAAAAAGAAGGTGTTCGCATTTCGGGCATCTCGAACTTTTTTTGATAGCGTACTTAGGTCGGTACGACGAGTTTTATCATCGAGCTTCTTGGAAATGGTGTAATTTATGGAAAAAAGTCATTCTATAAAAAATGCTTGAAATTATATCATGAGTTATTAAGCAAAAAAATGGGACATTATGGTCCGTTTTTCATACTTCGAATTCCGGATTTCGCTGGGCAGGTTGCGTACCGACCTACGTCATGGGGCAAACAAACCTCAAGATGCAAGCACCTCCTTTTTTCTCTATGCCTTCATATCTCCAACAGCTTACATATATCAGCTAATTAGCTTTTCTGTGTTTTTGTTTATTTTCAGGAATTCGCTGGTTTTAAGAAGTTGCTGAATGCTTATCACTCGAGGACCCCTCAGTGTCATTTCTTCATAGGTAGGTATACCCAGAATTAAGAAATTTCGTGAAATAAAAGATTATACAAAGAAATTTCATTTAACACTCAGAATTCAGGATTAAACCCTAGAATAACTTATGAATCTCCTTAATTCCCTCTATACGCACGTGGTAAACTGTGAAAGGGAACTTTAGAAATGCCCAGAAAGTTGAGTAAAACAGCAAAAACATAATTTTGAATTTTTTTTCTCAAATTTTGGTAGAACACACAGCCGCACCGATCCACTTAGTGGTATACCCTTCCCAGGATAAGAGGACATTTTGATTAAGGTGAAATGACAGGAATCAGTTTAGAACAATAAAAAAGAACATTGAATCACATTTTATTTAGTAATTCGTCGAAAGCACCTGAGACGTCACACCGGCATGGAATCAAAATAAACAATTGAAATTTGAGGTTAGGGTCCCCCTCCTCTTGATGGGTTTTTGCGTTTGGCCCAGATATTCCAGACCAAATTTTCATATCAAAAACCAAAGTCTGTCATCGGTGTCAAACTCGCTCCTAATGTAAACAAACGAACGGCGACATATAGTCCGGACATAAACAAAGCGTACCCAGAGCGGACTTCCTCTAGGAGATGTTCCAGACTCAATTTCTCAGCGGTAGCGTTTCTTCACCTCGACAAAAGAACTTTCGTCCGCGTCTAACATTTATCCCTTTCGTAAAATCAAATATCAGTTACCCCGTTGATCTGTTCATGGTGATTTCAAGTGAAATTGCGGCGAGATACTCCAGACTCCTAATGTAAACACAGCGGCCTGTACCTGGTCGAGATGTTCCGGACTCATTTCTTCATTTACGTTTCTTCATCTCGACCAAAGAAGTTTCTCGCGCATTCAAAGTAACATTTTCCGGTTCCATTGTTAGAGAAGAAACAAGTCATTTTGTTGTAAGTTAGGATAATATTTGTGTTGATTAAGTGGCTTGAGCATTGGACTACCTGGCTGCGCCTTGCATAGCTGCCTCTATATCAAGATGATTGGGAGAAAAGCTTACTGGTTGATGTGCGAATCTGAATCCTAAATCCCTAGGAACGGTAGTTGTGAAATCCAGACGGATGTACAATGCTAGGTACCTTGCTCCTCACTCCTTTTCTCATGGATGTTCACTGGTCTCTCCAAGGTTCTGGTTTTGCGATGTGTTGAAGCCAATGCTTTAAGTTTAGCTATAACAACCAGGCTTCGGAGATACTAATTAACAATCCTAGCAGTCACCAAATTCTCCAGCAAACCCGCATAGTTGTCTATAACAGCTGAAGAAGCAATGGAAACCGTATTTACCTATGACAACAAGATTTTTTCCGTTGGAACTCTGATAGTAAGTATGAGGGGGAACTATCACCTTTAAGGCACGTTTCTCCATGAATTTTCTTGTTTTTTGGCATCAAACTAAGTAGAACTCAAGGAAAATGAGGCAAAACTTTACAAGTTACCATGTAAGGTTCATCTGCTGAAAAAATAGAATAAAGTCTAAAATTCCTTATGAACATCACCAAGATGGTTCTGCCACCAGCAGTTCAGTTTTTAAGGCACGGATCAAATACGGTTATCTATTATTCTCACGGTGCCCATCAAATTATAGGTAAGAAACCTAGTCCTGTAATAATAATGGCATGGAATGACGGGCTCTAATTGGTGACTTGACCATCCCCAATAAGTTATCGAAAGAATTTACTTCTTAAAAGATCCTTTGCGAATAAAGCCAAGTAAATATGCAGATAAAAGTCCCGTGTGATATGTGAAGTGTACTTACCTATTCAAAGTAATTTCAAAGGGAAGGGATGAAATGTTCAAAAGGTAACGTCCAAATTTGCAAAGTTGTAGAGGCGCTCGGCACAAATTGGACAAGGTGCCGCTAAGTGATGATTAAATGAATTTTTTATTGTTATTAATTACGGAAAAGAGGAAAAGAGAATCAGGCCGAATGCCAAAATCCAAAATTCGAAAAGTGTAGGGTGGTGTAGGAGCCGAACCTTCTTCGAGATTACGGGCGGCGAGCGGCAACCTGATTGGCTACGAAGATTGCCGAGCATGGCCGAAGGCCTACTCGCCGCTTGGTAGGTGTTGACGGCGGTTTGATAAACAGAAGTTTTTGGTGAAATGTGGTCCAGAATATCTGGGCCAATCTGTTCACTCCTCTTGATGAGCCAGAAGAGAAAGAGTAAGAGAAGACGAGAAGAGAAGAACTAGGAAGAGACCGCGCTCCAATTGGTCAAAATTGACGAATATTATTCTCTTTAAAAATAAAAACAAATTCTGTTAGAAAAAACAAGCATATTTTTGACATTTTGTCGGTCGAAAGAAATTTCATGGGGAAAAAAGAAATTTCACGAAATTTCATTCCATGAAAGGAGGCAGGAGGGGTTGCGATTTGGGCCGAAATCAGCCCCTCCACGGAATTGAGAAATTTTTGGACTTATGGCAGTTGACGGTGCAAAGACAGAAATAATCGAGTTTTGCCGATACTTATGTTTTTTGGCTGCGATACATGGGGCCTAAATATGGCTGCAGAGTCGAAAATCGCTGAAATTTCGCGTTTTTCGCGGTTCTACCTCAGATTTCGACCTGGGCTCGAAGGCGACGGGTGTGATGAGCTTCGAATATGGTGTCAAGGACACCTAGACACGTAACATACTTGAATATGATCAACCGTCGCCTTTGGGCCCAGCTTCAAAATCGAACATTTCCAACTTTTTAGCCCGAAACAGCTGAAAATCCATGCTTTCATACTGCAAACATTTAAAGTAAGATACTTGAATATGGTCGACTTTCGTTTATAGGCATGTGTAAAAATCCGCCCCATATTGCGGTTTTTTAATCTTCTATTTCGTTTTTCATCTGCGTCTAAATATGACATGTCATAAACTTTGTTTATTTTCGGGACTTGATAAATTACATTTTTTTTCAGATCGTGGCGACGTGTTTCCTTTTCGCCCAAATTGAAAGAATTATTTCATTCCTCCTCCGGTGTAACGATACATCTTTGACGTATGATTATAATTCGTAGAAACATGGTCATACATTTTTCATTATTAAATCTGGAAAATCACTTACCCTTCAAGCAGGATCACGAAGCGGCTATTTTGGGCTAAAAAGTTGGAAAAGTCCGATTTTCAAGTTGGGCCCAAAGGCGACAGTTGATCATATTCAAGTATGTTATACGTGTCTGGTGTCCTTGACACCATATTCGAAGCTCATCACCCGTCGCCTTTGAGCCCAGGTTGAAATCTTAGGTAGAACCGAGAAAATCGCGAAATTTCAGCGATTCTCGGCTCCGGAGCAAAGACATTGCTCCGGAGCCATGTTTAGGCCCCGGTTTCGCAGCCAAAAAACGTAAGTATCGGCAAAACTTGATTACTTCGTCTTAAATGTTAGTTCTCGGGTCAAAGAACCCCCAGATACCGAATTCAGGTGAATCCATTGGCAAAAAATCGAGTTTGTCAAATTTTCGGCCACTTGGAGCCTTAACCGGCGGCCATTTTGAAAAATTAGGGTTTTTTTTTACAAATCCAACGTCAAATTCGTTTTTCTCATGCCAAAATACCCCCAAACACTGAGTTTCAAGCAAATCCATATGCAAATAGCAGAGGTGCCAATTTTTGGCCATTTTGAACTTTGACCGGCTGCCATTTTGAAACGGTTAGAGATAATGACTTCGGGTTTGCGCGAAAAATTTTCTTTTTTTATGCTCTTTCGAACGAGGTATCACAAAGGGGGTCTTCCCATTTGAAAAAAAAGTTAGGGTCCGTAACCCCCCCCCCATCCCCCCAAAATTTTGGGGGGGTCAAAAAGTAGCTCCCTTTGATCTAGGAGCACCCTCCAAGTTTCAAATCTCTACCTCAATTAGGTCAAAAGTTAGAGGGGGGAGGGGACTTTTCGAACACCCTGTATTAAATATCCTAAGGCTTTTTTTGTCCTCCTTCACTTTGGACGGTTTGTCCTAATTCGATCTCAGGAACCACTAGACCGATTTTCCTCGGATTTGTTTTAAATGAAAGCTCTTAAGCTGTAAATGTGCAGGCACCCCTTGGTTTTTCGATTTGCGCGACCGATGTTGCAAAATTTACCTCAATTTGATAACGACATATTTGCCTTTTTGCCACTGGACAAGTCATATGGTTGGGGGACCTCCAACCTTTTGATTTTCCGTTTCCCTCTCCACGTAAACCCATCCCTACCTGCCGTTAACACGTGTCACCCTTCTACTCTGGCATGGGTCCTGTGGCAGTATACCTCCCTTTTTATGCCGTCTGACTCGGAACCCCTGCTACGCATTTCGTCCGTCGCATTGCTCATATCAGTTCTTAGTTTGTCCAGGTTTCTTATTAGTACGTCGAGAGTTTTGCTTTCTTGATTTTGTCCTTAGTTTTTTTTTTTTTTTTTTTNTTTTTTTTTTTTTTTTTTTTTTTTTTTTTTTTTTTTTTTTTTTTTTTTTTTTTTTTTTTTTTTTACATGAAAATTACTTGATTTTGATGTGTATTTTTCAGAAGATAATTTTCCTTTTCTCGGCAGCACAGGTTTTATCAATAGTTAACTTTTTTACAGCAGCTCATGTATTCTTCCATGAGAATCGGTGATTAATCTTCACCCTTTCGCAGCGTTGAATTTCCACAAAAAGTTTTGATTTTTTTTTCCAGGATTGTTTTTTATTTTTCAAGGATGTTTCTTTTTCTAGAAGTAGGTGGTTATCATTATATTAGTTTCTTATTCTTTAATTTGTTTTTGAATTTATAATTTTGCCTCCAGGAAGTCCACTAATTACTAGTAGTAGCAAAATTTTGCTCGCGAAGCGAGCCAATATTCACTCGCGGAGCGAGTTACTGGGGGTCCAGGGGGCGAAGCCACCGGCTGGCGGCGCAAGCGAGCGTAGCGAGCTGAAGCAGCTAGTCATAATAATGCCGCATCAACAGGAAGACCATTTGAAACGCTTCCGGATCTCCAAAGGTTAAATTACCTATCTAATGGTTCCAAAAAAAAATAATAAATTTCAAATTTTATGAGATTTATTCGAGCCTTTTGGTTTCAATTCCCATATCCCTGCTGTATATTTTCAATACCTAACTCGCTCGTATGTTGTCGCTATGAATAAAGCATCAGTATGCTCCATGATGGATAGCACTGGTGCAGGTGGAGCCTTCATCTGCACCAGTGCTCTCCCTCATCTCCGCTCCAATGTTGCTTTTACAATCTTAACCTCCTTATCTCTCATATGGCACAGTTGGGCAACTTTTCTCTATTTGAGTTATGAATGCATATTGAATTACCGCTGAGCCTTCAAAGTACTCCATCTTGAGTTTAGCGGCGAGCTCCTTTCCTTGTTCATATGAAATAACGCGACGAGATTTCAGATCTGTTTTATTCGCAAAGAGAGCACTGATTTTGGGTAAGGGGCCATGGCCCCACTCTGCTTCCTTGGCCAGTCGAAGCCAATGATCAATCCTATCAAAGGCCATCTGTGATGTCACACTGTACATCAAAACCAGGATGTCGGGTTTGTCCCACTGCAAGGCAAATGGTGTCATATTAGGGGAAATCGAATCACTTTGCTTAAATTGTATGTTTGTGGTGTCCACGGAAAAAATGACATGTTGTGGTAACCTTATCCACTGTTATGTCGACATGTCACAATATGTACCTGATAACCCGCCCGCCCGACGTGTATCCATACTAAATACTAATACACTATTGTGGCGAAAGGTTGCGGCAACGAATTCTTCAATGTTAAAGCAACATGACTACTTTGCTGATGTAGCAACGCCTAATGTTGATTTTACATTTTGAAATTGCTGACACACCATTTGAGGAAATGCTATTCTGACAATACTCGCTGTTGATTTTACATCGTGAAATGATGCACGGACAACGAGGATACCTGCTGAATTAACAAAATTACCAAGTTTAAGTACGGTGCAAAGGAGCCATCAGCGTCCTCTAGAGACATATTAGAGATGCTAATGTACATTTTTCGGCAGTATTGTGAAAAAAGTGTGTTCTATACATCAATCTCTTCGTCTTGATACGTAGAATCGGATTTTTGATGGTGTCAAGTTCAAAAATTAATCCGGCGCCCCCAATTCAAGATAGTACTAAAGGGCGCCGGAGGGCTGACAAATTATCAATTTTCCTACCGAGTCGACTAAGGTGTCGATTTATGCGTAATTTTGGTCGTATAATCCAAATTTTACTATTAAAAAATCCTCCAAGCTAAGGGGGGGGGGGGCAATTCCCAGATAGCGGCCAAAATGGGCCCCTTGCCGGGATAATGGCCGTAGATGGCTTTATATACTGTATGACATATCCGCAAATAGGATTTGTGGGTCGGGAATTACGAAAATGAGATCGGACATTCTCCCAAAATTTTGGGGGGCGGGGGCTAACTTTTGTTTTTCAAACGGCAACCCCCCTTTTGTGGTACCTCATTCAAAAGATAAGAAAAAAAGAACATTTTTGGCGCAAACCGCAGGTCAAAATGTTGTTTTTTGACAAAATGGCGGCCGGTCAAAGTTCAAAATGGCGGACCTTTGGCATCTCCGTTTTTTATCGGCGAATTGGTCTGAAACTAAATGTATTGTGGTTTTTCGGGACGAGAAAAACGATTCTGGCATTAGTTTTCCAGAAATGTCAGTCCTTTTCAAAATGGCGGCGGTTAAAATGGCGGCTTAGAGCGGGAAGTGGATATTTAGGCTGCTTATCGTGGGATTTGTATGAGACTGGTATTCGGGGGTATTTCGGCACGAGAAGAACAAATCTTTCATTGGATTTTTGAAATTTTTGAAAACTTTAAAATGGCGGCGAAAAATTGACGGAAAATTCATATCACGGCTGTTAACCGATGGATTTGCACAAAAGTCAATACTCTGGTGGTTTTTGGCTCGAAAAACAAATTATCTTTCATTAGATTTTTGAAACACTGAATATAGTCAAAATGGTGGCGGAAAAATAACGGAAAATCCGCATCCACCATCGCCATTTACAATTTTGCCGCCATTTTAAAGTTTTCAAAAATTTCAAAAATCCAAGGTAAGATTCGTTCTTCTCGTGCCGAAATACCCCCGGTTACCAAGTCTCATACAAATCCGACGATAAGCAGCCTAAATATCCACTTCCCGCTCTAAGCCGCCATTTTAACCGCCGCCATTTTGAAAAGGACTGACATTTCTGGAAAACTAATGCCAGAATCGTTTTTCTTGTCCCAAAAAACGCTAAGATTTTAAGTTTCAGACCAATCCGCCGATGAAAAACGGAGATGCCAAAGTTCTGCCATTTTGAACTTTGACCGGCCGCCATTTTGTCAAAAATCAACATTTTGACCTGCGGTTTGCGCCAAAAATGTTATTTTTTTCTTATCTTTCGAATGAGGTATCTCAAAAGGGGGGTAGCCGTTTGAAAAAAAAAGTTAGCCCCCGCTCCCCTTGGGGGGGCCCCGCCCCCAAAATTTTGGGGGAACCAAAAAGTTGGTACCTTAAACCTCAGAACATTCCCAAAGTTTCAAACTTCAATCTCAATTAGGAAAAAAGTTACAGGGGTGGTAGGTGACTTTTGGATAACCCTGTATACGAGTTATATGTCAGCATTAAGTTGATCGTAGGTAAGTATTACAACCCAGAGTCATAGAATAATAACTATTGCTGACGAAGCTATTTATTATTCTATGCCAGAGTGTTATACTACTTAGGGGTTATGTATGGGGTAGTGTTGTACAATGAGTTATGTATTGACATTAAATTATAAGTTCATATTAATAACTAGGGGTTGACTACCTATATCTTATCGGTTGCCATAAGCGATTTTCCAAACTACGAAAGGAAATGAAATATATAGGTACAGGAAAATGGAAAATTAATAATAATTTCCCAGAATTATTGAGAAAGTCAATGATAATGACACTGATTAGATTTCTTGAGGAAGTCAATTATGTAGGTATTTTTCAAATCCTGTAAAAAGTTCATTCTGAAATTTCAGGAAAAATGAGTGCTTTCACTAAAATTCCTTTTTTTATTTTTCTGTTACTGCTAAAGGAGAATGCTGAGGCATTAAAAAATGGACATAAAATAAAACTAAAAAACCAAAGGCTCATTGTACAAGTATGTGAAGAAAAATGACTTCTTCACAAGAATATACAGGGTGTACCAAAAGTCCGTCCCACCCCTGCTAACTTTTGAACGAATTGAGCTAGGGTAATGAAACTTTGGAAATGTTCCTATCGCAAAGGGGACCATCTTTGGGGGGGGGGGGTCAAAATTTTGGTCCCCCCTCAGGGGGAGCGCGGGGGCCCCCCAACTTTTTTTTTTCAAATGGTAACCCCTATCTTGTGATACCTCATTCGAAAGAGCATAAAAAACTAAGAATTTTGGCGCAAACCGCAGACCAATATCTTAATTTTTGACCGAGTTACGATAGGTCAAAGGTCAAATTTGACCTATTTTCAAAAAATCATAACTCCGGTTCAAATTATCGTAAAGAAAAAAATAAAACGGGAAAATTTACCAAATTGTGTCCGCTTTTAAGTAAAAATTGCAGAAATCACTTCGTTTTAATTTTAAGGGGGGGCTCGGACCCCCAAATACGTCAATTCAAAGGTCATTCAATTTTCCCGCGAAATAAGCCAATTTCCCCTAGATTTGCCTCCACATCATCTCAGTAAGGTCAAAATCAGTTCAACATTACGTTGGCAAGTCCCCTTTCGGGAAAAGTTTTAAAAAAAACGAAATTTAAGGTGATTAAATTTGACCGTTTAAATTTCGTTTTTTTAACTTTTCCCGAAATTTGGGGACTTGCCAACGTAATGTTGAACTGATTTTGACCTTACTGAGATGATGTGGAGGCAAATCTAGGGGAAATTGGCTTATTTCGCGGGAAAATTGAATGACCTTTGAATTGACGTATTTGGGGGTCCGAGCCCCCCCTTAAAATTAAAACGAGGTGATTTCTGCAATTTTTACTTAAAAGCGGACACAATTTGGTAAATTTTCCCGTTTTATTTTTTTCTTTACGATAATTTGAACCGGAGTTATGATTTTTTGAAAATAGGTCAAAGAGGGTTATTCATATAGGCGAAAAATGTACCCAGCCCGGAATGTACGAAACTTTGTGAGCTGATAGTACTAGTTGAGAGAGGCTTATTCCTAGCTCCGGTTTTGCAGGAACCCCAGGGAAACAGCGTTGCCATTTTTTAAAGTCGTAACCTTCAAACACCCATAACTTTCGCAGAAATGCTGTTACAGAGCTCGTATTTATACCAAAAGATGCAAAAAATTACGTTCTATCGACCAATGCCAAAGAAATTTTAATTTGACTCCATTGTTGCCGCGTTTTGGCCATTTTTTTAATTTTCGTAATTATTTAAAATCACGTTACCGCCTAAAAAAGTGTTTGCGGTTGGTGGGGATTGAATGAAAACCTGTCGGAATTATTGTTCGTTCGATTCCGCATCCATCGATATATTATACTTTTCTGAGAGACTTAGGGAACACGAGTTATAGCGATTTGAAAATTCGGCAACACGCCCTATACCCCGATATTAACGCTCGTTTAGGTACGTTTCGCAACTCCGTGTTAAAGCAAAACGCCTAGAACAAACAAAATTCGAAAAGTCAGTTCATGTTTTGCGCTTTTTTGAAACTTTCACATGATTTTTAGGAATTCAAGGAGCGGCGGTGTTGCCGGTTTTCAATGAAAACCACCGCTGCCATCACAATTTAAAGTAGTACTCATTTAATCTTATCCAGCTACATTTGCTAACCTAAACTGACCATTTGCGACCTGGTGTTGACAACATTGCCTAATTTCCGTCGGAATTCGCGTAGAGGCGGCGTTGCCAGTTTTCATGGAAACCGCCACCGCAATCACAAAAAAAATGTATTACTTATTTAATCACGTTCAGCCTTATTCTGTAGTTGGAATTGTTTTTTTATCGAATCGATGGTTTCATCTATCTCTCTGCAACGGCAGTGGTGCCTGACAGTACCGAGATATCGATATTGTATAGAGATCAAGAGCAATGGATCTAGGCCCCTCGCCAAAACTACTCATCGGACCGCTTGAGTGATTCGGTAGCTTTAAATTTCGATACCTCGTTACTGTCGGTCACCACTGCCGTTGCAGAGGGATAGAAGAAACCATCAATCCGATAAATAAACAATTCCAACTACAGAGTAAGGCTGAACGTGATTAAATAAGTAATACATTTTTTTTGTGATTGCGGTGGCGGTTTCCATGCATACTGGCAACCCCGCCTCTACGCGAATTCCGACGGAAATTAGGCAATGTTGTCAACACCAAATCGCAAATGGTCAGTTTGGGTTAGCAAATGTAGCTGGATAAGATTAAATGAGTACTACTTTAAATTGTGATGGCAGCGGTGGTTTTCATTGAAAACCGGCAACACCGCCGCTCCTTGAATTCCTAAAAATCATGTGAAAGTTTCAAAAAAGCGCAAAACATGAACTGACTTTTCGAATTTTGTTTGTTCTAGGCGT